CTGATTTTCCTTTGAAAATATCATTTATGTTAATATCCAAAATATCACTTTTAATCACTCATATATTCTAATATGAAGAAAAAGTATATTTCAACACATGTTTCATAACAAATTCCACATAACACATGAACATACACAATTTATTCCTAAATTTGTATATCATGCTCCTTTTTCTCTAGACATTTAATATTTTCATTTTTAGGCATTATTAATCGTTAATAATCCATAAAAACACATTTAATTACCTTCGGTAATCTCATGAAATTAACTCACTAATTATAAGCAATATAGTCAGCCATCCTCACCTTATGAAGTGCTGAAATAGTTGCCTTTGCTAAGCCCCTCGATCAATCCCCGTTCTAGGCCGATTGAAGGTGTAAAACTGAGCTGCTGGGCAAAAGCCGGGCGGCTTTCACGAAAGCCGGGCGGCTTTCGTGTTCTGCAGAAACGGGCAGCTCCCTTAAAGTGGTGGTTTCCGGCGATTTCGACTCCTATCGATTCACCAACTCTTCTAAGTTAAATATCACCACTTTATATCAATATTCTACACTTTTAAACGTGTAGAACATCATGTTTAATCCACCATATGATTTCTTAAAAATCACACACCATAAAACTAGTTAAAAGAACCATATGTGTTCTTACCTCAAGGCTTAGCCTTTTTCCTCTATGGATTCTTCCCTCTTCTTGGCTCCTCAAGCTCCAGAATGTTGAGAGCTCTTCCCTGGACCTTATCTCTCTATTCTATCCTCCTTATGGTGTAGAATGAGGGAGAAGTCCATCAAGTCTCCTCACCTTATGAGGATGGTGCATGAATGAGACAAGGAGGGGTGTGGTTTGTCCCCCCAGCTACCCTCTCCTTCATAAGTCCGCCCAAGCCATGTTAGGATGCCCCATTCCCATTACTCTGGTCATTCAGCACCCTTAAAAACGTGGGGTGGCCCCCACTTATGTGGGAGGTCATCCCATTATGTCCCGATATGTATAATCGGCCCCGAAAGTTGTATTTTTCGGACTACTTTAGTCGTATTTTATTTTATCGGGCCGGGCAAAATATATCACGTGTTCCTAATAATTATGGGCCTTTAGAATAGATGTACATTCCTCAACATTAATTTAGGAGTCTCCGAAACTCATTTCGGGCTGTTATCCGTTAAATTACCAATACCGGTAATTGGGCCCCGTTTGATCCACCGGTCAACCCCATGCCTTTCTTATGGCATAACTAAAATATCCACCACCATATACATATTATCTAGGCCAAGATGAATATAATATGTGGTTCGGGAATTATCGGGCGGTCCCCGTCCCGCTGTGGGCCCCACATGCAATTTTACTATTCACGTAAGATAAATAGTAAAAATTAACAATTACGCAATTTCATAAATCATCTTTCAAGGTTTATTACATCATTTACTAAAAGTAAATATGCTCAGGGTCGGTGTTACAGGCTGTGTGTGGTGGCGTGATATGGAGTCGTGGATCTGGATTGCGGTCCCTCGGCGTCGGTGGTGGGATCCAAGGTAGCGGTAGGCGCTTCTATGCTTAGCGGAAGCCAGGATGACGATGATAGTGTCGGTCAGTAATATTTCAAATCTGAAGCTTCCGAGGCAGCGACGACGAGCTTCATCTCACGGCGCATGGCGGCAACTCCGCGGCGGCGAGATCCGGGAGCGGCTAGGTGAGCCCCGGTGATATACTTCTGCTTTAGCGCACTGCTCAGTGGAGGCCAGCACCGATATCTCCAGCGTAGATCTCAAAAATTCCAGAACCTTTTCCTGCTTTTTTGCAATCCAGATCCGAAATTATGATCGGTTTTTGAATTTCCCCAAATTGTTTTGATCTATTTCTATGTTTGTGATGAATTTGTGTATTTTTGGGATGAATCTCACTAGATTTTGTTCAAAATCTGTATTTTTCTTGATTCGTGCTAGAGTGATATGAAAGACAGTAGAAACTCTCAATGAAAGCACCAATGTTGGTCCAAAATAGGACGCTCGTAGGCTTTTAGGAAAGCTACGTACGACACTCAAGAAGGAATTAGGAAAGTAATACGAGAATGGAAAGTTGCCAAGGGAATTTGGTAGCCAGAAATAGCATATAGAAATCGTCTCCCCTAATCTGAATTACAACCCGCCTTTTATAGGCGTATACAAATCGTAACCGTTACCGATAATAATGACTAATTAATTACAACATTAATACGGAATTAAATACATAATTAATAGTGCATTAATTGCTTGACCGTTACTCTTTCGGGCTGGGAGATCGGCCGGACTGGTAGGCTCTCCGCTGCGCTGGCAGGCTCCAGGTTATGAACTTGGATCCATGGGTTCAAGTTCGAGGCTTGGGCTGATTATGCTCTGGGCCTAGTCCCATTACTCCATCATATGACATTAAGGTCCTGCTCATCTCAATACTTTAAGAGAGCAATATTGTAATGTCATATTACCAACAGAATTTACTTTTCAGATCTCAGATCTAATTCCTTTCGTTATAGTAAATCAAGTACGGTACACATAACCTATAATTTTAGAGATCTATGTAGCTAAAATAAGAGATAACTATATATTTCTAGAAAAAGGCAGATTCAAGTGATATTAAGAGTTATAACAAAACGAGTAAAAGTGAGAGCTATGGTCTGAGATCCATTGGTTATCCCTCAGCCTTCATACCGTAACAGTACGTGGTGTAGTAAGGCAAGATCGAACAAAAATATACTCAATTGACACATCAAAAAAGGTTCTTAATTGAATAAATCAATAAAATAAAACCATATACAAGTGCATGTACACAGGAATATTGTACGATCTACGCAAACATAAACTAACTTTACACTGGAAAAAATATAATGAATTGAATAAATCCCTAAAACAAAATGATTTACAAGTGCATGAATGAATACACTATTGGAATGATAGATATAACTAGATTGATCTATCCATCCAAAAAAACTAAAATGGAATCAAATATGTAAATCTGCAGAAATTAGTAGGTGTATGTGTGTATCCAAAATTTGGTTAACAGAGTTATTATATTGATTGAGCCGCCAACATAGAAAATCAGAATGGCCCTTTTTCAAACCTAAGAAACAAAATGTCACCCAACATAATACCACTGATTTTCCGATTATGTGCACAATATAATCGAAAAAGTGATGGAAATAGAGGACATACATGCACACAAATCAAAACTGATACAAACATAGTAATCGATAACCGTTCTAAAAATTAAAAAACAAGGACAGAGATGAGAGGGATAATACCCGAATTGCAAGAGAATAATATACATGGGTTGAGGCCCCTTGATTATCTCCCATCCATCATATAGATTCAAACAGTTGGATAATATGGCACCCCACAACAAAAACACTGATTTCATGGCTAAACAAAAATCGAAGATTCAACAGAGCTACCGTAGGAGAGGGGTCGGATGAACCGAGGGTCCTTTGTACAGCAATTGAAAATGCTGCTTATATATAGGACCTTTTAGGTTTTGTTGATGTTGGGCTATGATGGGCCGGTGAAATGGGTGTTTTTTTTAATGTCATGGGTTGTCCAAAATTGGTACTAATATGTAAAATACTATCATGGGCCATCGAGAATGAATTATATTTATATTATTATTATTGTTATTATTATTATTATTATTATTATTACTCTCTCCCTCTGTTTCTTAAAATCTTGCCATGTTTGACTGATATGAGGATTAATAAAGGAAAATTTGTGTACTTGAGGTTTGTAGACAAGAGAAATTAATTGGAAACATAATTTCTTTATTTAAAATTGAAAGTGATTAAGTTAGTGCGACATACAAAAAATAAAATTTGGCAAAGTTCAAAGGGACAGAAGAAGTATTACTTATTCTACTACTATTGTTATTATTTCTATTCCGTTTATTATTATAAATAATGATTTCACTTGATCGGCTATCTATTCAGTCAATTGGAAGAAAAGAAATTAAATTATAATAATCTAAACTATCATCTGTTGACTTTTATTAGACCCAATAAATACATTAAAATAACCTTGATATATAAAATTAAAGAAAGTTTCAAAAAGTGAAATATAATAATAATTTTTAAAAAAATAAAAACTTTCATAAAAAAATTAAAGAAACTTTCATAAAGTTTCCTAAATATTAAAAAAATATCATGAATTTGTAAAATAATATACTTCGCATAAAACAATTATATATCAAATATTACAATTTTTCTAAAAATAAAAACAAAACAAAAATAGTGGTTTTCTTTATGAAACACAATACGTTATTGGATTTAGTTAAACTTTCATTTTATAAAATTCAAATTTGAAATTTAAACCAAATTTTCCACTTTTTGTAAAAAAATCGAGTTGATTGTTGGGATTATTATACGGAGACAAAACCAGTCAATCCGGCCATTTCGGTCAGTATTTTATAAATTTCAGTTGAATTCGTCAATGCAGTCGATTTGTGTATTACCAAACGGGCTCTTAATATCTCATTTCTATTTTCAGACATTTATCTTCTTACAAATCATTTTTATCTGTATAACCTTTATTATATAATACCTGATATTCTATATTCATTACACATTGCATTTAATAAAATTTTGATATTGTTGATATAATAAAAAAATATAAAATCGTTATATCAAATTTTGTCCCGTGCATCGCACGGGTAGCTCAGTTGGTCTAGTGATGGGAAAATTGGACCAAGTGACCAAGGTTCGAAACGCGCAGCGGCCGTGTGGAGGTTGCAGAACCTGAAATAAGACTAGACCTCTTATGCGCACGTGTATAAGGCCTACCGCCTCTTTGCTGACTGAGTCACCGTGATTAACCTCTCCACGTTGAGTCGGGGTGGGGGCTCCTGGGGTGGGAGATTCTACCTTTTGGACAAAAAGTAGAAACCACACACTACTAGAGAGTACTGTATTTTTCATCAATTGTGTTACTGCTGTTTTTGAGAAGTAATGTTGGAGTGTTCATTTTCATTAATACAAGTACAAAGTAGTTGGGACATGATAGTACGGGAATCCACTGAAACTTCTCACTCCAATATAATTCGTGGTTCAAGACTGTGTACTCTGCATTTGATTTCTGACTGCATTGCTTTTGCTGCTATCTCCCATTTCTGAGAAAAATCATGCCCCGCTTCTCACTCCAAGGTACACAATTTCTGAGAAAAATCATGCAAATTCCAATGCATATAGAGAGTAGAGCTCATAGTATATTCGCAATGAGCTTAAATTGTTTTTTGGAGTTTAGTGCCTCAATCAATTCTAGCCCCCTATTGTGAAATTTGTGGTTTTTAGAAATCCATTTCGACTTTACAATGATTGAAAGATATAATTGATTTGAGTAGTTCATTTTGATTGAATTGCTGCCGTTGTTTATTTGTTCGTTTACCCATCTTTCTTGCATATGTATAGGTTTCTAGATTGTTATGGATCATCATCATGGAAAGTTGCCTTCCTACTACTATATAAAGAGACTAGGATTGGAGCATGAGAGCGAGGATGTGCTTTCACAACAACTTCCTGACCAAGCCCTTTCAACAAAATCGGCTCATATGATCAATTACCTTAACAAGATACTACTGGAGGAGGACGATGACGAGAATAGTGATGACTTGTTGCTCGGTGATCCTGCTGCGTTGAGAGCTGCTGAGGATTATTTCTATGAAGCCTTGGGTGAGAACCTCTCACTTGACAGCAGTGTAGGAAGCCAAGTTGGGACCTCAAGTTCTGATATTGATGCCTATAATTCATCAAGTCAGACTAACTTGGATGGGTTAAATGGTTCTTTATATAGCTTTGATAGGGCTAATTTGCTTCCAAATATACATTTTGATGATGAAGCCACCTCCATATTCCAATTCCATAGTGGTGTGGGGGAAGCTAAAAGATTCTTTCCTTCCATTAATCCGATGGTCATCCATTTCGGCCATAAATGCCCATTGGAACTAGAGACCGAGGAACTGAACAGTGGCAGTGCTTTGAGGGTAGAGAAGGATCATTCTGCTGATTCGTGCAGAGGAAGGAAGCACTACCGTGCAAGTGAAAGTGGGCTAGAAGAAGAAAAAGAGGAGGAAAGGAGCAGGAAGCAGAGTGCAATTTATGAGGAGGACTTAACAGAGGCGTTTGATAAGGTTTTTCTGTGTGCAGATGATGATGATGTTGATTTTCCGTCTGCAGCTGGAAAGCAACAGCAGAAAGGTCGAAATGGGCGCAAGAGCCATTCAAATAAACATCGAGCAGATGGTCGTGAAATTGTTGATCTCCAGCCCGATTTGATCAGCTGCGCAAAATTGGTTGCTGATGCAAATTATAGAGCTGCTTTAGAAAAACTAGAGAAGATTAGGCATTACTCTTCGCCTACCGGGGATGCAAATCAAAGGCTGGCACATGCATTTGCTGATGGTCTTGAGGCACTGCTAGCTAGAACTGGGCTGCAACTTAATGCTTCATCATCGCTTTGCAAGACGAATAACTTTCCAAGTTATGCTTCCGAATTGCAAAAATCCCGCCTGTCATCATCTATGCCATTTATGAGGATATTTATCTTCTTTGCAAATAAGATGATTTATGATGTAGCATCAAGAGCCACATCACTCCACGTTATAGATTTCGGCATTCTTCATGGTATTCAATGGCCCACTCTTATTCGGGATCTTTCACAAAGACACGGTGGCCCTCCAAAACTTCGAATAACTGGGATCGAGCTTCCCCAACCTGGTTTTCGTCCATCACAAACAGTAGTAGAGACTGGTTGTCGCTTGGCAAGATATTGCAAGCGTTTTGGTGTACCATTCGAGTACAATGCCATAACAGCAAAGAATTGGGAGGCACTTAAGATTGTTGATTTAAAGCTCAAGCGGGGTGAGGTGGTTGCTGTTAATTGTAATGGTCGATTGACAGACCTACCAGACGAAACATCATCCGGTGCTGACATCCCCAGGGATAGTGTTCTAAACTTAATCCGGGAAGTAAACCCTCATATTTTTGTTTACATTACGCTTAGTGCATCTCACAACTCTCCTTTCTTTGTCAATCGGTTCAAGTCGGCTCTATTCTTCTACTCTAGTGTCTTTGATATGTTTGAAGCTATTTTCCCACCCCATGACGGTCAAAGGCTGCACTTTGAACAAGCAGTTATGCGGCCTGTCATAGCAAATATCATAGCATGCGAGGGCATGGAAAGGTTTGAGAGGCCTGAAACATATAAGCAATGGCAATGTCGCACTATGAGGGCTGGGTTCAAGCCTCTTCCTCCGAGCCCTAATATTGTGGAGAAGTTGAGAGCTAAGGCGAGGGAAGCAGGTCACAAAGACTTTCTGTTTGCTGAAGACGGCCATTGGGTGCTACTGGGGTGGAAAGGTCGGGTTCTTGCCTGCAGCTCTGCCTGGGTAACTCACAACCACTGATGGATTGTACATTTGTAGCATATGTAAGCGAACTTTGCATTTCATGAAACGGTGCCTTTCCATTTTAGAAGCTTTAAATTCCTATTTCCGGATGGATTCTTAATTAATTAGGAATGTGGATTTTCTTTTTATGGGATTTGTGGATGTAAATTAGGATATAACAACCTATTAATCAGGGGCGGATCGAGGAATCTGAGATGCCCTGGGCTGAATATGAATTATACTAGGCTTAAATATTATCGGGGTGGGCTAAATGTGAAAAATGAAAAAATTTACACTAAAGAAAATAAGAAATTTCTAAGTTGCCCTGGACTTCAGCCCACCATAGCCCATACATAGAACCTCCACTGCTCTTAATGTAATTTTTCATAGCTACATGTTCATTGTGATCATTGGTAATGTACCGTTGGAATGTATTGCATTTTAAATTTACTACAATTATACCTGTATGATGCACGAGACAAAATATTCTTTTATTTTTCCTATGCTGTTTTACAAATTAAAATGGAAAAAATTCCAATTTTGGTCCTATGACTATTATAACACTTCCACATTTAGTCCCTTACTTTCAGATTGACCATATTTAGTCCGTGACCATTATCCCCTCACCACCCTCGGTCCTTCCGGCCGAAATTCTAGCAAATTTAGTCCACTTCTCAACCTCGGAATCAGTCTTTGCATTTAATTTTGCATCAGGTTGGGTTTTTCTGTTTTGCTTTATTTCTCTTGTACCCTCGAACTTTATTATAATAAATTTGGCAGGTATTCCCCGGCACCCCACCCCCCCCCCACCCACCTTGTGTGGTTGAACCGGGACAAAAAAAGTAGTGTTTTTTAAAGGAAAAGAGGATTTTTATCGAGAAAGAAAAGTAAACAGTACAGAGAAAGAAAATACAGAGAAATAAAAAAAGAAAATAAAAGAAAGAAAAAAAAACCATACATAGAAACTACACCCAAGGAAATTCTCTGGACTGAGATCTAGTAGTCATGTTGTGCCGCCTTTTATTTTTCTGAGATTTCCTGTAGATTTTGAGTTGCATGTTTAAGTTTTCCGTCGGCAGGCAAATTTCAGAGGTAACAAACTTGGATTTCCTGCAGATCGCTCTGTTGAATTTTGATTTCGTAATATCTCCTAGAGTTGAGATTGGGGAACGACGGTCGCTTTCAGTGGCATGTCCTAGAAAGTCGTCCGTGAAACCAGAATCATCTGATTGGTAAAAGGTATCTGAAGCGTCCGAGTAAGCCTGAACAAGCAGGTGCCACTCTACTGGAGTTGGAGACCTTTGTTTATCTGAGTATGCTTCTCGAATTTGGGATTCAAAAATAGTAGTGTATTTATGCGTGAATATTCCGTGTATTTATGGGCAGACACCCCTCACCTATAAGGGGCTTCTCCACGACAGAACTCTTCAATTACTCTCTTTTACAAATAACTATATTAATAAAAAAGAAATTATCTTTCAATATCTTATTATTTCCAACTTTTCATATATATACTTCTACGTTCTAGTCAACTAAAACGGTTTTATGTTGGGTCAAAGCTATCCTTAACACCCAACATTATTGAAATAAATTTATGAACAAAGTGACTTAAGTAACTATAAACATATTCTCACGATAACTAAAGTGTAAAGTTGAATAGTCATAGCCGCTAAAGTTATTACTCCGTATCATAGTTACTCAAGTATAAAATGGTCACATTTTTTATTTTAATTATATATTCATCGTTATTTCAAACATCTATTGTGAAACTACTAGATGTGATAACACTTTTGCTTATCAATATTTTAAATCGTATGCACATGATTACTCGTGATATGGCAAAACGCAATTGACCATTCAAAATGAGAAAGTAATTGACTATGTTTTATTAATCACATATATTGCATACTAAGCACTATAAAAATTATCTTCATTGAACTATTTGATAATGTATGGCATGTAGAAATCCTTTTATAATACTATCTTATGTTATATAAAAAAATACATGTAGTATAGATACTAACTTTTAAGAAAAGGGAGATACATGTATCATCTTAAAAATATTGATACTTTTTAAAATATATTTATGAAATTTAAAATTGTGAAATACAAAAAACTGATTGAACAAAGTATAGTTAAAATGGTGAAATAACACAATATTATTGGAGAAAGAGTAACTATTAATTAACCAACAAAGTGTCAATAATTAAATTAATTTTAAGGGAAATAACACATTGATTCTTAAAAAAACACATTATTTTTTAAAAAAATATTTTAAAATTGGATTCTCATACTACAAAAAAAACTTCGTTTTAGGCATGTAATTTGGCTTAGAAAATATTCCAACCAACTTTGACCCAGTTTCCAGCGTTAGGCACGGATTGGGGGCTAAACATGCATGAGATACGTCTTTGGGACGACAACACCGAGCCAACACTTTGCCTAGGACGCATCCGCTCCAAAATCCCAGACAAAGTCGAGTAGTATGTGCCAGTAAACTAATCCGTACGAAATTTTTGTTCCGCGAGAATTCCGATCAAAATTCCCAGCCAAAATTAATGGGGTAACGAGGACTTTGTGGCGCGGTACCATTCCGTTTCAAAGCAATCCGAGCCAAAACCCGAGCCACAGTTGTCTATTGGTTACCAGTGAGTGTCTGAACCACATCCCCTAGGCCCTACAAGCTCCGAGCCAAAAAAGACTGTTGGTGTCAAAATAAAATTTCGAGCCACATTCCATGCCAAACTCCGAGCAAAAATGATCGTGATGTACAAAAGGTCGTTTCTTTACTGTTGCATTCCCTGCCGAAATATATGTTACACCCCCAAAATTTCCCACCCAAATTTACCCACCCAAAATAATATTTAAAATAATAATTTATGCAAAGGAATATGAACTTTATTTGAAGTATTAAAATGTTGCAGCGGAATAACACAAGTGAAAATTGAAGGTGTTACCGCCACACTTAGCATAACCCGAGCTAAGTGCACAAGCTAACAAAAGTCTTGTTACTAGTAATATCTATAGCTAGCGCTCTCAAGAACCGTAATCTTGCATGTCACCATCCAAAGCATAACCATATGTACAAACAAGAAAGGGAAAGAAAACAAAAGAGATAAAAAATTAGCTTTCGCTAAGTAAGCCTCACCCAACCTCGTAAAATAATTAGGTTTGACAAACATAATAGTTTATATACTCCCTCCAACCCGAGGTTGGCCAAATTTTCTTTTTTGGATGTCTCAAAAAGATTTGTCATTTCCATTTAAAGTAAAGAATATGTGGCTAAAGTTAATTCTCTCTCTGCACAAATTTCAACAACACAGTTTTTACTTTATTAATCTAAGTGAAAGTCAACTTTGGCCAACTTTTTCGGGACGGAGGAAGTATTATATATACGAAAATGATTATAAATGGAAAATAGCTTTCATAAAGTGTGTTTCTCTCAAAAAGGTATTCTCAAGTAAAATATTTCCAAAGCATAATTCTCCAACCAAGTACTTGAAAGTACCAAAACTCTCCTCTTTGAGTTTCTCAAAAATCTTTTTTTCACTAAATATTCTAAATAATTTAGAAGGGCGGTGCTCAACATTTTGTCAAGTCCGGTGAACCGTTGTTATGTACGGCCACTCCGGAACTTTTGCTGGTACCACAACTGCCCAATGGAAACTGAACTTCATCATGTTAAGTGTGCCCTCCGAGTAGTAAGAAGCCCAAAGTAGCCGGGATGTTTTCTATCGACTACCCCACCAAATATATCATCCAAAGTGACTAGGTACCGCTACTACTGCCAAAATCCACCAAGTGTTTATCGTTCGGAATGTTTTCTACCGAACACACCAAAACCTCTAATTAAAGTTGTTCGGATTGGTTATCGAACCCACCAAAGTCATTTATTTAAATTATTCGGATTGGTTACTGAACCCACCAAGCAAGTAGTAGCATCTCTAATCACCCTTTACATTTATCCGGATGTGGAAAACCGACACCGCGAATTTCTCCTGCGATGCTATACATTGTGGAAGGTTCATTTTATCTTGATTAATTTCCAAAAATGTTATATCTATTATTTATAGATATAGTTTTAGAATAAGGACTTTCATTCTTAAAGTTTAAATCATAATGTCACCAAGTAGTTCAAAACATCTTTATCTCTACTAGCTTTAAAAGTCTCATATTATACGTAGATGTAATTCACAAATAGGATTTTTATCCTTAAAATTTTACTCATAATTTACAATATAGTTCACCTTCTCAAATATCATAAAATAGTATTATCTTTAATATATTCCAAAATTTCACATCTATTATACATAGATATAATTTCGGGAAAACTATCAAATAAGCCCCCTAACTTTTCAAAAAAATCAATTAACCCCCTCAACTAAAAATACGTCCAATTGAACCCTGAAACACGTTTAAAAATGTCAATTCCTCTTTTTAGCTGATAGTGATCACGTTACCGGTTATTTTTGTACACCCTGGCAGACATGTGATTTTTTCCATTTTCTTTTTCTTTTCTTTCCTCCACCTGCTATCTCCTTCGGGTTTCTCCTTCCACATGCACTACCACCAAACTGTCAAATTCTTCCATTTTCTTTCTTCCATCTTCTTCCACCCACTCTTTCTTTTTCCCTTTTCTTCTTTCTTTCTCCCACCCATTGTTCATCGGCCGGCGTTTCACCGTGCACTGACTGAGAAGAACCCAGTCGTCTCTGTTGGTAGAAAATATGTTGAGTAGAAAATTCGGCAGCAATTCAGTACAGTAAAAGTGACTTCTCCAATACAAAAGGAGGGGCGGCCTATTTATAGGCGCTTACAAGAGGTTTGTCAAATGCTAATGGGCTTGGCCCAATTAAACAACTAAAACAAGAAGCCTGATCCAAGGCCAATGGGCTGGTCGGCCCCAGAGTTAAACCAATCAATCCAAGGACCATATTATCAAGCCGGACCGTGTGCTGGGCCTGGTTCGCACCCGAGCCCAGGCATATTGGGTCGATAGTATTGGACCTGGCCCATTATCGCAACACGAGTCCCCCACTCCCCTAGTCGAGTAGCAGACTCGGCTAGAAGGGAGTAATCAAGCTGATCAACGATCGGTTCGTCTATCGGCTGGCTAGTCGCACCTCCATTGTAGCAATCTGGGGTGCTCGTCAACGTAATCGTTGGCCCGTAGGGATGCCTTTTTTTCTTTCCATATTCTTTTAATTTCCTTAAATCCGAGTGTGGCCTAGCCTTAACACCCTCGATCATCTACGCGCAATTCAGCCATGCAGGTCCCCTCAGCTTCAGCCGTTCCAGCCGCAGCCACGGCATCGCCGCATCGCTCCATCCCGCAGCGGCTCCCCTTCTCCGTCGCGCCGGAGGGAGGGTCATTCACGACGTTGTTCGCCGTCGCGATCTCGTAGCCCAAGCGGTCGGAAAAAACCCAGCGATTCACGGTCATCATCGCCGCCTGTTCCAAGCCTACGCACAGGTTCTCAACACAGTTCACGACATGGAGCTCATCATAGTGCCCTCTCCACCCGTGAACGTCGTCCGTCTGTCAAACAGTCCCAGCAACCTCCAGCAGGTCAAATATCATCTGCGCGAGACCTCCCGGGCGAGGCGGACGCACTGCCACAGTCTGGGAACTTGGTTGCACGAGCCCATCGTGGCGAGGTGGGGAAAGAGTTCGTGCGTGGAGGCTCGGTTAAACAAATTCAAGCCAACGGGGTGAATGCAACGTCTCAACCCGAATTCGGGGCATCAGGGAAAAATCAAGGGGTCTCCGATAATTTTTCGATGCATGAAAAGGTCACCACCTCCTCACGGTTGGACAGACCCGCTACGCGGATCGTGATCGTTAAGGGACATCTCTGGCCTGCTCCGGGGGGGCCACATGACCAGTCCGTGCCATCCTCCAACAACGTCACCCCTGTAGTGGACATTGCCTCACAGTCGGATAGCTCCCCCAAATCAAATGGCGAATCGGATAGCGTCGAAGATCCTAACGCTTGGAGGGAACGTTTGTGTTCCACCAGTACGGAGGCAGATTTGAAGTTGGCGAAAAGTTTGGTCGATAGCAATTGCACCCTCATGTTGCCAGATCCCGAGAGTAGCCTCACTAGCCCTCCTCTATATTCGTTCTTCGGGGTTCACATTGCATCTATCGCGCGGGGCATGCGGGTGCCTTTATGTCCATTCTTGGTGGCACTCCTTTCCCATATCGGGGTATCGCCGTGCCAGATGACCTCAACCGCACATATGTTTACGGCTGCTTTTGTCGCACGTTGTAGTGGCGTTGGTATCCGACCATCCATACCGTTGTTCCGTGCATGCTTTAGGTGGAACCGCCCTAACAATAAGACAGATGACGGCGGGTTCATGTCACTTTGCCAATTACTGCACCGCAAGCTCTTTGATCAGTATCCAGAGCCACCTAGAAAGTGGTTGA